ACCGTCCACATGCGTCCCCCGCAGCCATTTCGGCACACCCCTCACACGTTTCGTGGCCTCATAGGAGCTCCACCGAATGCCCCAGTGCAACCGTTCACATGCGTCCCAAATACCAATTTCAGCAATCCCTTCACACGTTTCGTGGCCCCAGGGAGTTCCACCGAATGCCCCAGTGCCACCGTCTACATGCGTCTCCCACACCCACACCCCTCACACGTTTCGTTGCCACATAGGGAGCTCCACCGAAGGCCCCATTGCAACCGTCCACATGCGTGTCCCACACCCATCTCGGCACACCCCTCACACGTTTCGTGGCCCCAACGCCACCGTCCACATGCGTGTCCCACACCCATATCGGCACACCCCTCACACGCTTCGTGACCCTACAGGGAGGTCCACCGACGGCCCCAGTGCTACCGTCCACATGCGTCCCCCGCACCCACTTCGGCACACCCCTCACTCGTTCCTTGGCCTCAAAGGGAGCTCCACCGAAGGCCCCAGTGCCACCGTCCACATGCGTTTCCCGCACCCACTTCGGCACACCACTCACACATCTCGTGGCCCCATAGGGAGCTCCACCGAAGGCCCCAGTGCCACCGTCCACATGCGTCCCCCACCCATTTCGGCCCATTTCGGCACACCCCTCACAGGGTTCGTGGCCCTATAGGGAGCGCCACCGAAGGAGATATTCACAATTGCGGCTCGCACAGCTGCATCTGGTTGGGCCCTTCGCCAGGCTAATTTCGAGACGCCAGATGTGTTGGATTGGGGGGTGAAGATATGTGCACTTTAGACCCCCTGAGGCCCAAAATGGGCGCGAAGGGTAAACGCTCCCACCCGTACTTATCGCCCCCACATCACGCAACGCCCGAATCGGGCGTTGCGAGTGGGAGGGGCGGGCAGAGAAGCATACGTCTGGCGTCTCGACGTCTTCGAGACGCGGGCCCCGACCTCTCGACCGCTTCCCCGGGACGTGCTTCTTGCATGCAGGGTTGTTCCCCCCTCCTCCTCCTCCTCCTCCTCCTCCTCCTCCTCCTCCTCCTCCTCCTCCTCCTCCTCCTCCTCCTCCTCCTCCTCCTCCTCCTCCTCCTCCTCCTCTTGCCCCGAGGCCCGGCGAGGGCCCCGAGAGGCCTTCTTGGCTTCGATTTGTTTGGGACGCCGGATGTTTGGGATCGGGGGAGGGAAGGAGTTGCAGTGGGGGCCCGTGCCAAGGAACACCCTGCTTGCCTTCAGGGTGCCCTGGGTGTCTTGGGCTTCGATGGTTTTGCCATGGAACGCGTGACGTTCCCACGCCAAAAATCGATGGACGTCCTGGGGTCTCAGGGCTGGAAATCTTGTGGAAGCCTTCTTGTGGACTGACCTCCACTGTATGCACCTCTTTGTGCACCTCAGGAGGCCTAAAAGGGCGCCCATGGGGCCCAACTGGAGCAAGGAAGGTGCACGCATCTCCCCCCCCGCCTCGGTATATTGGAGACCCATGCCAAGAAACACCCTGCTTGCTTCCAGGGTGCCCTGGGTTTAGGGTTTCGCTGGTTTTGCTTACCGAAAATCAATGGACGTCCTGGGGTCTCAGGTTATGATGGTCTCAGGTTATGACGTCCTGGGGTCTCAGGTTTAGCCTGGATCACCAGGAAGAACTTCGAGCACCAAGAAAGTGCCGACCCTTAAGGGTTCTCAAGTGTCGGGCCCTGGGGGCGATACTCGTTCGACCCCGTTTCGATGCTTTTCCGGGTGCTCGGAATGATTTCTGGGATGTGGTCCTTGCGCACGATGGGAGCATTAGAAGTCTCAGGGTTGGTTTCTTGTGGAAGGTTTCTTGTGGACTGGCCTCCACTGTATCGCCGCCACATTACCGTCGACCCGCATAGCAAGGATGGGCAACTTTCCCAAGGGTACTCTCGCATCCTTGCCTCCTCGGTCCATCCTTCGCCGCTTTCGCTGGCCGCGCCCCGCTCGAAGAGCGTCGAAACGGGCGTCCAAGGCCCTTGCATCCTTATCGCACATCCTTACTACACTGCTTGACTATAAGCCGTGCCCGCCCCGAGGCGACCCGCGTGCAGCGGCCGCGCCGCTGAGCCGAGGCGCCCCGCCGAGGCGCCCCGCGAGGCCGCGCGGGCGTCGGCGGGGCGGCGGCGGGCGGATCCCGCGCGAGGCCGCCGCTCCGGTGGGCGCCCGCTCGCGTCGCCGCCGGGCCCGCCGCCCCGTCGAGACGGAGGAGGGCGAGGTTCGGCACGAAAAGAGTGTACACCTTAGGCGATGCTTAAGAAAACCTAAGTTTTCGTCCAGAGTCTCGATTATTCTTAACTTGTCAATGTAAATCCCAAGATTTTAATATAAGTTCAGGGTTTTCATTCAAATTCGCAGACTCTGAATTTCTTAACCCATGATTTCTTGAGCATTTCGCAGGGTGTACAGTGGCCCAGAGTGGGTACAGTGCCCCGCGGTGGGGTACAGAACAGTGCCCCAGAGAGTGGCCCAGGGTGGGCACAGTGCCCCCACAGTGGCCCAGAGAGTGTGCAGTGCCCTCGACCCGTCGGAACGGGTACGGAAAGAGCGGGTACGGTGCCCCACAGCAGTTCCGCTCCTGTTCGTTTTGAACGGGACTCGCTGTCCACGCCGCCGCGGCCTGTGTCCATCCGAGACAGAGGGCCGCCTGCCCAATAGCGGCCGCTGTTGGTCTGGGACAACATTTGTTGTTGGGTATTGTACCCATTTCTCCGTACCCATTTCTTCGGGCGTCCAGAGAAGTGACGTGAGCATCGGGTTAGGTCGAGCATGTCCCTTTACAGGAGGAGCATGCAACAAGAGCACAAATCGTAGTCTGCGGACGACTGTTCGTGCGCGCCTGTGGCAATGTTTTGTTGCTCTTCCGAGCTCCGCCCGCAGGAGGGCATGCCCGACCTGGTGCGAGCACCGGGGGCGGCGACGAGGGGCGAGGGAGGTGTCGGCGCTGGTTCCTGGGGGCCCTCGGGCCTCGGGGTGCTCTGCAGCAGCTGCGCCTCTCGGGAGGGGCAACAAAACACTGCCACAGTTAATGTTCATCGTCGATCCCCCAGAACAGATGGGAACATATGGGAAGTGGGGGGAAGACAAAACCCGATAGATCATCCTGGCGACGGGCCCAACCATATGCAGTTGTGGGTGCCGCAATGGTGAATCTTTTCTTCGGTGGAGCTCCCTATGGGGCCACGAAGCGCTGCACTGGGTGGGGGGGAACGCATGCGGGCGGTAGAACTGGGGCCGTCGGGCGACCTCCCTATGGGGCCACGAAGCGCCGTACTGGGTGGGGTGAAAATGCCAAATTTGGTGTGTGGGACGCACGCGGGCGGTCCCACTGGTGGCTTCGGTGGAGCTCCCTATGGGGCCACGAAACGTATGAGGGGTGTGCCACATTTGGTTTTCAGGACGCATGCGGACGGTCCCACTGGGGGCTTCGGTGGAGCTCCCTATGGGGCCACGAAGCGCTGCTCTAGGTGGGGGGGGAGCGCATGCGGGCGGTAGAACTGGGGCCGTCGGGCGAACTCCCTATGGGGCCACGAAACGCTGTACTGGGTGGGGAGAAAATGCAAAACCTGGTGTGTGGGACGCATGCGGGCGGTCCCAGTGGTGGCTTCGGTGGAGCTCCCTATGGGGCTACGAAGCGCATGAGGGGTGTGCCAAATTTGGTATCCGGGACGCATGCGGACAGTCCCACTGGGGGTTTCGGAAGAGCTCCCTATGGGGCCACGAAGCGTTGTACTTGGTGAAAATGCCAATATGGGTTTCCGAGACGCATGCGGACGGTCCCACTGGGGGCTTCGGTGGAGCTCTCTACGGGGTCACGAAACGCCGTAGTGGGCGGTGTGAAAATTATAAAAATGTTTTCAGGGACCCATGCGGACAGTCCCACTGGGGGCTTCGGTGGGGCTCTCTGTGGGGCCACGAAACGCCGTACAGGGTGGGGTGAAAATGCCAAATTAGATTTCCGGGACGCATGCGGACAGTCCCAGGGGCTTCGGTGAGGCTCTCTATGGGGCCACGAAGCGCTGTACAGGGGGGGGGGGGGGGCGACGCATGCAGACGGTAGCACTGGGACCTTCGGCGGGGTTCCCTGCGGGGCCACGGAACGCTGTACTGGGCGTGGGGGACGCATGCGGACGGTAGCACTGGGACCTTTCGGTGGGGCTCCCGATGGGGCCACGAAGCGCTGTACTGGGTGGGGGGGACGCGTGCGGACGGTAGCACTGGGACCTTCGGCGGGGCCCCCTGCCCACGCCCAGACAACAGCAGGACCACCTCTCGGAGGCTGGGCTTCGCACGTGGCCAGCGCGTGGGGAACAGATCCTCCCTCCGGAAGAGGGGGCGGGCCGAGGCGGCGGCCCCTCCGGGCTTCTCTCGGCCTCTCTCGGTGCCTCCCACGAGGACCCGTCGCCACGGCCGGGCCCCCGCCCCGAAGGGCGGGCCAGGCCGAGCCTCTCGGGGGGGGCGGACGTGGCCCAGAGCCCAGGCTGTGGGTGCGCTTGGGCCTCCGACCTGTAGGCGAGAGGGGGACGTGGAGAAAGAGGACGAACGAACAGCACACTTTTTTCGATCCGCGGGTCGAGAGCGAGCCTCTTCCGGTCGAAGCTAAGCGGGCCGCGCACAGCTTGAATTGACAGAGGACGAACGAACAACACACACCCATACCCATAAAAGAGGTCGTTGGCAGGAGGACTGTCTATGGGTATGGGTGCGGGTTGTCGGACCCTGGGGAACGCTCCCCTTCGAGCGGGGACCCCCATCCGACAACACGCACCCATAGCCCTCTCCGATCCCCCTATGGGTGTGTGTGTGTGTGTGTTGTTGGTTCGTCAAAAGAGGGGGCATGAGGAGAAGGGGATTGAGGATGCTTGTGACTGGGTCGTTTCTCCTGCGTCCTCGCTTTTAGCACAGGCGTGCGTGCGGATCTTGCCTTTGCGGGGCGCGCGTGGGCACACCAGCTTGCCACTGCGAAGTTGTGGCTGTCTCGGCGGACCGCGCAGGCATTTTTAACGACAAGACGACGGACATCAACACGCTCACGTTCAGCGTGAAGCAGGACTCCCGTGCGGCCTGTTCCACCCAAGGAACAACTGTGGCGCAGCCCGCTCTTCGGGATGCCGTCGTGGCTGCTAACCCCATGCAGTTGTTGAGAGTTTCCCCCCTTCCAGCAAACGGACAACGTTTTCCGCACCCTGGACGCGTTTTTATTTTTCCTTTTTTTCGGAACGTTGGGGGGAGGGAGGGGGAGGGCGAATGCAATTACTACCCCTACTGGTACTATTCAGTCTTTATGGCAGTAGTCGTAGTAGTCGTAGTAGTAGTAGTAGTAGTAGTAGTAGTAGTAGTAGTAGTAGTAGTAGTCGTAGTCGTAGTCGTAGTCGTAGTCGTAGTCGTAGTCGTAGTCGTAGTCGTAGTCGTAGTAGTCGTAGTAGTCGTAGTAGTAGTAGTAGTAGTAGTCGTAGTCGTAGTAGTCGTAGTAGTCGTAGTCGTAGTAGTAGTAGTAGTAGTATGTAGTAGTAGAAGTAGTAGTAGTAGTAGTAGTAGTAGTAGCAGTAGTAGTAGTAGTAGTAGTATGTAGTAGTATGTCGTAGTAGTAGTAGTAGTAGTAGTAGTAGTAGTCGTAGTAGTAGTAGTAGTAGTAGTAGTAGTAGTAGTAGTGGTGGTAGTATTGGTAGTAGTGGTAGTAGTGGTAGTAGTAGTAGTAGTAGTAGTAGTAGTAGTAGTAGTAGTAGTAGTATTAGTAGTCGTAGTAGTAGTAGTAGTAGT